GAAAAATGAGAAGCATTCAGTAAATCTTTGTAATCATGGATAGTGAATTCTACATTTTGAATAATTATAAAATCACAAGTACTTTTTCCAGAATCATGCTAAGATAAAAGTTTAAAGAATATGTTATTTGCCTATATGTCTAGATTTTAGAAACAAACTGTGTACATGATAATTTCAATGATTTATTTAGTCACTTGAGTGTTTATTGAGTGCCTAGTGTGTGTCAGGCAGTGAGAAAGAGTAGGTAATTGACACGGACACACTGCAGTTACACTGTGGTTCTTTCAGTCTACCCCACGGTGTGTGCTGATACTGCAGAAGTCAAGAAACAGGAATGTAATACAGAGTAATTCTTATGAACTTGCTCATATATGAGGGTACTTCAAAACGTTCGTGGAAAAATAGAATTAAAAGATAATATGAATCTTTCCATGAATGTTTTGAAGTTCCCTCATATGCATGGCAATAGAGAGTGCTTCCTAATTGCAAACGTACAGCACATGTATCAGCTAGTAACTCCCTGTGCTAAGTACATGAACTCAGGCATTCATTCCATGTACAAATAAAAGCTAAAATCACAAACAAGTGAAGGTGACATTCAAGCTTCTCAGTTCATGCAAAACTTCATTTAGTTTATTTGTAGGAGTTTTGTTCACGCCTTTTTTAAGCAAAGGAAATGTGACTGAAAACACACCAAAGCAGAGAATGGTTAACTTCCTGCTGAAATATTGAGATTTTCCAACAAAGGAAAAAAATTTGAAAAGGTAGCTTTCACTCCTTAAAAAATAATACCCAAGGGAATGTAAAAGTCAGGTAATATGGAATAATAAAATTAATAACTTGCTATTTCTGTAATATTCAAAAAGAAAAAAGCATAAAAAGAAGTAAAAGACAAATGATTTCACATATATGTTTTTAATGGTTAAGTCTTATCTACTAGGTAATTATCACAAATGTGCACAGATAAATCCATGATATGATGGACTGCTGAAGATGATCATTGCCTTTGCCTAATCAATTCCTTAATAAAGATCATGATAATTGCAGAAGCAAGATTAAAACTAGATCTTTTTCATAAGTTTTCCCTGTGTTTTATTTGGGTATGATTGGTAAATATTTTTAAGTACTTCAATTCTTATAAAAATATCTGCTGAATGAAATACCTTTTGGAACGGAACCTTTTTATGCAATCAAAGGTGTTTCCTCAGTATCTTCTTTAAAAGCACGGAATTAGGAAATCTGGCTTCAAGTCCTGTCTTCATCTTTTTGGACCTCCCTACCTCATTTAAAAACTGAGGGGTTTGAATTATTTTATCTCCCAAGTTTCTTCTAGTTCTAAAAGTGATTCCACAACTTGCCTAAATACTTTGAAATATTTGAGCAGTTTCAAGAAAATCTTAAATCATATTGAAAGAAGTTGCCATTGTGTCCATATGGAAGTACAAAACAAAACTTGCAAGCAGTTGCTGCTCATTACAGCTGATGTGCTATAAATGGTTGTTGACACTGAGACCAGATGTCATGGAAAATCCTGCATCATTAGGAAGCAATGGGGTGGGGAAGGACCCTATGTGTTAGAATGTCAGTAGAATCTATTTAAAAACCAACTTTAAAAGTGATTCATTGCAAGAATTTGGAGATAATTCAATATATAAAGACAAACATAAAAGATCACATTTAAGTTGGCTCAATACAGACATTATGAACATTTGTTACAAATACTAAACATTCTACATTAGCTACACTGAACATTGGTGGTGGGGGGCGGGGGATGGAGTTCTGTATGTTGAAATGTCCAGCTGCACTGGAATGCAATAGCTAATCACTAATGTGTATATTGTCCCTACAGAGGACAGCACACCATAGATAATGTTATGAATTAGAAGCCTTATAATGTTCATCTGAAAAATGACGGAACTAACTAATTAGCTCCAAGAGTCTGTGAGTTGCCCAGGTCCACACAGCTAATAAGAGATAGGGCCAGGACATGAACTTAGATCTTCACATTCTTTCTAGATCATCATGCTTTCCATTTCTCTCATGATACTATGCTCCATGGTCAACTATAGCTCCACTGGTAGTCCTGTGATTCTGATCTCACCTGACTAGTTTGTTAAGTGGTGGAAGAGTAGCAGATATGCACATAGTGATGTAGGAAAGAGCCACTGATTAAGTAGAGATTCTACTCTCTCAGCTTTGGTAGAATATAAACACAAATTATCCTCCTTTGTGGAGACATTCAGAATTTGAACTAATCTACTTGCCCATGAACTTTTGTAGTACTATACTGTATATTTTTAAGTTGGAGGCTATATGAGTGGTAGTGATTCAAGAAAATCAGAGTAAATATGCCTGTCCTGGTTAAAATGCTGCTTTAGAAATTCTTGGTGATTAAGCCTCCCACACCCTTGCAGAACATAACGGGATTATTGTGACTGGTAGTATTCGAAAGGGTTATATGGAAGTTGAATTTGTGTGATATTTTTAATGTCTCATTGGAGCGAGTCATTTAAAAGCAGTCATGTGATGAACCATTAAAAAGCAAAATCCTTTAATAAAGGCAATAATCATCCTAATTTTTCATTTCATAATTCTGTATTTTAGATATGCCTAAAAGATATACATAAATGAGAAGCTATTTCAGTGCTATTAATTTTTAAATCTATGCAATCACCTTGAAATAGCCCTGCCTTTTCCTGTACATAACTGCAGCTGAACAGTCTTCATGGGTATAAGGTGAAACACTGATCCAGATGGATTTATTATTTTCCTGGATGATTCACAAGGCCCTCCCGTGAGACCTTCTAGGTTATCTATAGTTATGAATGTTTGCCCCAGTCATTCAGAGGTCATGCATGCTAAAACTCTAAGGCTTTCCATTCTGAATTGGCAGATACTTGATGTTTAAGGACATAATGCACACGGCACTGCCCAGAAGCTTTTCAATTTATTGAAAAAAGTAAAGACACATTAAATTTTTAAAAAGTTTATTCACTAAGGACACAGGCATTTGCTCAATAAACTTCAATACCACTTGACTTAAGAGTCCTAAAATGGCTGTGTTTTCTAAAATGAATGAATGAGTCTGTGGTTGACAAATTAAGACAGATGTATATTAGCAGAGATCTCTGGACATCTCAACGCTTTAGAATGTGAAAGTCACAAAGAAATAGAATCCACTGTTGCTTACGGTTTGATGTGGTTTTTCCAAGTTATTAAATCCATAAATTAATAATCATAAATCACTTCCTGATTAAATTAGAAATGCATGAATGTAGTAGACCATAAATTTTAGTTGTGAAAACAGAATGTCAAATATAAATAATTTAACATAATTACATACTATAGTATATTGATATATAACCAGAGTTCCAAGTAATTTTAAATGTTAGGTTTTACTCAAAGTTATTTCAGCATGGAGATCTTTCATATTCTTGAGACATCTTCATCCCAAACTCCAAATTAAATTATGTATTCAGTGTTGAGGTAGTTCAAAAACCCTGTCAGCCCTAAATTACAAATTCTCACATTTACCAATTGTCATAATAGTGATGAATCTGATGGCAGTGAGCAGCAATAGCCTGAAGAAGTCTGGTACTTGATTAAAACTTACTTGCTCACACTCTGATTTCTTGTAGATTTAACCTAATTTCTTCTAAGTTCTGGTTATGGGTCTTTGCTAATTTGCATGGCTGGCTTAACTAATAAATTAAATACTGGTTTAGGCTGTGTTTACACAAGGTCAAAACAATCAACAGAATTGACTAATTCAATAACAATTTGATGAAAAATTGTGAAATTACTTATTTGCTAACATATAAACAAAACCAATTTGATTGACTGAATATTTAAATTTTCAAACAATCGTTTTGGCACTTGTAGAGTCCATTGTTTCCCAGCTTTTTTCAGTCTGAGACACACTTCTAAATTCACTAGTTCTTATTCCAGGATAGGAATACTTTGAATCATTCTCCTGTGTGTATAACAATCTAGCCATTATATTCTTCCGGATAACTGGGGATGTATAAACTTGGCTATATATATTAATCATCCTCCTTTTCCTGACTGTCTTCTCCCTTAATTTCTTAAAATCCACAAAGGGAGTCCAGGGTAATTCAAAATTTTGTCCCGGTGCTTATTTTCAAAGGACCAATTTGTCTTGATGCACTGGTTGGGAAACAGTGGTATAGACACAGCCTTATTCCAAGACCAAGTTATCAGCCCTTGAGAAATGATAAATACCCAAGAAAATAAAAATGTATCTTTCTCATGGTATTCTGAGATGTCAGAATAAGTATATAAGTAATGCTTTGAATCACACTTTGAAGAAATGTAAATTGTGTTAAAAAACACTGGCTTATAAAGAAAGAAAGCTAAGTATAACATTTGGCAAATAGTATACTCTTCCTGCCTTTAAGAATAAACAGATTCTTAAAGACGGTAACTTTAATACATAATTCAAAGTCTCCAAAATTTGTGCAGAAATTGTTTGGAAACATTAAGAAATCAAAATCACTACATTTGGGTCCAAACTCATGAAGTCAACTAGGATTTAATTTGCACAGTTTCATTTGCCAAATGTCTGTAGATTGGTCCAACTCATGTTAACATCTTGCCAAGTTTCCTTCTGCTGGAAATGTCTGTGCTCTGTTAGGCTTCTAAGTCAATGTCTGTGGCCAAGTCTGGACCTCGAGAGGTCCTTGGAAACATGTGAGCAGGTCAAGACAGGTGCTTTCATTAGTTTGATCTCTCCCCAAGTATATTCTCTCTCCTACCCAGTATCTGTCCAGTGCATTTATGCATCTGTCTGAAGCCTGCACACATGGTAAATAATAATCATTTTCTAACCATATTTTTCCTGGGATTTAGGATGGCAGTCTCCGGGAGAGATGACAGTGCATGACTTTTTTCTTCATAATCTTGTAAAATGTTGTTAGTTTTGAATAGTCACTTAAAATAGGTTCTCACTTCTGTCTCTCTTTTTTTCTTTCTAAATAAAGCCTGAGAATTTGCTTTTAGCTAGCAAATCCAAGGGAGCAGCTGTGAAACTGGCAGACTTTGGCTTAGCCATAGAAGTTCAAGGAGACCAACAGGCATGGTTTGGTGAGTAGGGCCTCTCTCCTTCATGCTACCTGTGGTCTTTTGGTTCCTAATCCCACTTCCTAGCCAAAATAAAATAGAAATGTTCATCCTAACAACAATCTGATTAATTTAAAATTTTAAGATATGGGACCTTCATAAGCTCTTAATTTTACTGACATTAAAGGATATATAATTTAGAAATAATTTATGGGAAAATATTAATGACAGAGCACTTGGAATTTTTTCTTAAAGGATGTTGAGAAAATTGATCCTGTACTAAAAATGAACAGGAGGATTGCAATATTAGAAAAGTACTTTTTTGAGAGAAAGTTGATTGTTCACATACAACCTCACATGATGTCAAAAACTGCTATGTAAATAGTAAGATATTCAGTAAATACAAACTATTTTATGTATTTTGTGATTAGTGAATTAAAGATTTTTTTTAAATATTATAAAACATATATTTATGTGTCTGCGTTTCATGTTAATTACCTTCTATTACTTCAATGTGTCAGTTTCCTCTCTAAAATTCTGATAATTTTGAAATTTCTATATAACAAAATTTCTGTTTCTTTACAGTTAGTTAATGAAGAAATTAACTCTAAATAAATTTAAATTATAGCTTTTCTAACCCGGTTTATGGATTGTTTCAATAATCAGCCTAAATAAATTATTTTACTGATGGATTTTCTTATGCCTCTCTAGCTGCCATTTTCCAGTATTAACCTATTTTTTCATGTGAAATTCTAAGATATACCCTCTTCCCAAGCCTCAGTCTTATTTCTCTTGTGACTTCCAATATGTTGAGGCTGATTTTTTAAAATGCCCTTCACTTCTGATTTTTTTTTGTCCTCTAGACAACAACAACAAACAGAAAGAGGACTCAAAAAGTACTTACTTCTTTTGTTTTATGTGCAAATACTTCCCTGTATCCTTAACATACCCATGTTCTAAGATGTTCACATAGCTCCCAAAATTCAACATATCTCTCTAATCTGCCCCAGCTAGTTAATGGGAGTAGATGGTGTAATTCAGGACCTCATTTTCTGCTGCCTATTCTGTTTCAGTAGTCCTGACTGTTGTCCTTGTCAGCGATCCCTCCCAAGTTAATACCACCTTTTACATTAAGTGTCTCCATACTTCCCTCCACCCAGATAAATTTAATACTTCCAAATTGTCATTTGGTTTGTCATATTTTGACTTTTTTTTTTTTTTTTTTTTTTTTTTTTTCGTGACCGGTAAGGGGATTGCAACCCTTGGCTTGGTGTCGCCCGCACCGCTCTCAGCCAGTGAGCGCACTGGCCAGTCCTATATAGGATCCAAACCCACGGCGGGAGAGTCGCTGCACTCAGCGCCGCACTCTCCGGAGTGCCCCACGGGGCCGGCCCCATATTTTGACATTTGTTGAATAAGCTTGTTTCAGTTAACTGTAAACTGAAAGAGGGTAGAACCTAGAATAAGTTCTATAAATTGGAGATTCAGCTATATCCCTGTATCTTGGGAAAGAGTACAGTTGACACAGATAAAGAATCCATAGTAAGAGGAGTTAGGGGTTCATTAGGAAGTAGTGAGGCTTTCACAGAGATGAGCAGAGCAAATTACTGGAGGTCCTTACCCTCAACAAGCTGAGGCTTGTTAAATGGCAAATAGTTATTTGTCAATAACTATTTACCATGCAGGGTAACAGGGTGGGAGTACCTTAACATAGCGTGTAAGAGGTGCTCTGGGAATACATAAAGGAAGTATGAAATTCTTCCTCTGGGGAAAGGATCAATAATGTGTTAACACCTATGTTTGCCTAAGGGATCAATGGGAATTTGTTCCACTCGCATGCAAGGAGATGAAGACATTGGGACAGAGAGTTCAGAACATGCAAAGGCTCAGAGCATGAAACAATTTTTTTTTTCTGTTTCAGAAATAACAGGAAATTTGATATAACTAAAGTATAAAGTATACTGGGATGAATGATAGTTAATGATATGAGAAAGGATTTTATGTCTTTTTGTAGGGTTTGGCTTCAACTTAGAGGTTTCAGGGATCTAGTGGAAAATATTTAGTGGAGAGGGGCATAACTGGGTTAACATTATATAAGGATGATTTCAGTTGTGGTAGAAGATGGTTTAAGGATAGTTAACCTGAAAGCAAGGACCCAGTTAGGCTAATGTAATCATTCAATTTATGCATGATAGCTTGAAATAGGGAATATATAGGAGTAACCAAGTTCCAGATAATAACAGAGGAGACAGGAACGCTGAACTTGAAGATGATTTGTTTAGAAAAAACAAAAGTTCCAGACATTGGGTTCAAAGTCGTATCTAGAGCAAAGCAGGACCCCAGTTCATGAGATACTTGGGGTATGAGGCAGGATACTGAAATAGGGACTTAAGCCCAGTGATATAATTGCCAGAACTGGGTTTATGGTGATAACTGGATGTCAGGAATAAGACAGGAGTCTTTATTAACAGAGCTGAGGCTCAAGATTATCATCAGCAACTTCGCTTGATGATTAGAAGAGTGTTGGAATAGAGTTCCTTAAATCTCTCCTGTTTTTGAACTCGATGTTTTATCTCCTTTGCTAGATCACATGCAGTTTCAGGGCAGAACTATGTATAGTGGAAAAGATTATACTTTTTGAATTAGAATACCTGAACTTCTATCCTGATTCTGATTCTTAATAGCCGTATGACATTGAGCAAGTCAGTTTAACTCTGTGAAATCACTATCCTCTTAGTAAACGGGAATAACAAACACAGGGCTATGGTGAGACTAAGTGAAGTGGTCTATAGGAACATGACTGGGCTATAAAAGATGTTCAGAAGGTTTTCAAAATCATCTCAGTATGAAACATAATGTCACAGGTCTTTGTGTATTCAGTGAAAGTTGTTTAGTGAATCAATGAGTGGAAGACTGAGTATCAGGTTAGTGAAAGCAAAAGCATGCAAATAAAAGTACACACATTTTCAAATTGTGATAATTCATTTCTAAGGCGAGCTGTTCACAGAGAAACAATGAGAGATCAACAGTAAACGTTACAGTTCTTCATATGGCTTGGTGCTATTAACAGTTAAGTTCTTGTTAAGGTACCTGTTAGAGTAATGACTTTTAGAAAAAAGGTGCAACTTAAGGAAATTCAGCATTTCAGAAGTATGGAAAAACAGTTTCTAAGCTTAAAAGAATACGTGTTTTTTTTTTTTTTTTTCTTTTTTCAAGTACTACATTTCTTTTGGGTGTACTGCTGGACATTTTTTAGGTATTGGGAATAAAGGCATGTTATAATATGAATGACTTATTTTGTTATTTATTAATTACTATCTGTTATCATAGCCTCATATATTTAACTAATTAATTCTATCTTTTTAAAATGTCATATCAGTGTTTAGAGGGGTAGAGCCCTTGTTATTTTAATAAGAAAGGAGCAGGACACTTTTTTCATTGTGTGTAATTCCAGAGCTTCAGGCTTTTGCATATTTTATTTTAATAAATATATAAGGTCTATTACAAATAAGAAAAAAAATATATAATATATATACAAAATAACATATGATACAAGGCTTTATAGAAGCTATTTATCATTTTCTCTTTTTTCTCTCATTTTCACATCAAAATATGTGCGTTTTTTTCCCATTCACTTCTCACTTCCTTGCCTTGCTCTATTTGAATACCAGCCAAAAATGCTAGCGGTAACCCCCTATGTCATTACACTTGTTAAGATGGCTAGAAAAATTACTAAAGAGCAGTATCCAAATATGCCTTGTTTCTCCTATGGAGCTGGAAATGCTATTTTCAATACGTTTCTGGCATTTTGTTGCTGTTGGAAAAAAATAATAATAATAAAGGATAACTACCAGGATCTTGCTTCATGGAAGAATTGCTTTGCTTCTTTGCTGTTATGTCTCTTTTTTAAAATATTAAGGTTCTTTTAATGGCAATGTGTTGCAGTGGATACATTTCCAACAGTAAGTAATTCTGTTTTCTCTTTGTTTTATCTGATATTCCTATTGGTTTTTCAGAGTAAGAAACATATGCTATTCCTAAAGAAGGCAAACTCTCATTAATTTCCCTGTTGTTAGTATATGTGATTATAATCCTAAATTCTTATGAGTTTAATCTCCCCCTGTGAAAGGCCTTATCTATTGTAGCCCCAGTATTTCCGTATTCATGAGGTCACATTGTACAGTACATTGTGTCCTAGCGTTCATGTACTTTAGATATATGCCTCAATATTCTTAGGGGTAAGGACACCACTCACTATTCAAATGATAGTTGTATTAACTAAGAATGAGTGTGATGGTATTCTCTTAGCATTTTAGTCTTCAGAAGAAATTAATAATAATTTACATTTAAAATGATTTTTTTCTGTTCTTACTTACATAGGAACTTACTTTTCTATCTTCCCTAGAGGAAATATTGTTGATATTTTCTGCTCTTAGCATGTATTCCAAGTTATTTGAGACATACATTAAAGTTTGCTAATTTTAGATTGGAGAGTATAGATTGTATATAAAAGAGTGAAATTCAAAGTGAGAAAGGATTACTTGAGAACTTGTAGGTAGCTAAGAAGAGCTCTAAGATGGAAATCATTTAGAACCACCCTCTGTCAGAGAAAATGTAGAGAGAAAAATTGAAGATTCAAAGAACAGAAAAAGTAGCATCAAAAGTGAGAATGAGTAGTTCATTTTCAAAGACGTTAAAGAGATAGGTCAAGTTCTCAGAAGGAGAACGAAATCATGTCGGTTGAACAAGGGAACTAGAAGATAAAGGATCTGAAAGTGCACGATAAGGATGTTGGATTTAATCTGGAGTTTGGCATCAGTTTCTCACTGGATTCTCTTTATCTGTGTCTCAACTCTGGAGGAGTTGGAGAGGGATAATGGGAACGGAGAAGGGCAGGTATGGCATACCAGAAGCCCTGGGAAGCTCTTTAAAACTATCGTGCCCATCCCTGCCTTGGCATTAACTGACTCCACATTACAACTTCAGGTAATCCTTAAACTTTAGGCAGTGGAACCACCATTATTGCTCAATAATTCTTTTCATCTCACAACTAACAATCGAACATTTCTTTCAAGTAAAGTTTGAGGTAGAGGTGGATTATATATGGTCCATGTAAAGCTTAAACAGCACCATACGAATATTTTCTTGGAGTCCCTTCTCACTGTCCACCCCATGTTAAAAAAAAGGTCCAGAATCCTTCGCATAATTTTCATATCTAATTTTGTTCGGAAAAGTAAACATGCTATTGTACATATTCTTGTTTTGATACCTCTTTGCATATTGCTTGTACTTAATAAGCATAAATTTATTACAGAAGTGTGGAAAAAAATTTTTCTTTCTTGGGCACTTTATGCTTTGTGCCCCAGTAAATATACAATATGCTTCATCAGTGATTTGTGGTTGGAGGAATTCCTGATTTTATATCCTTTTAAAGTGATTTTTCTAGTTTTTATTTGTGCTTTAAAAAAGAAAAAAAAAAAACTTCCAAATGAGGATAGTTAATTTTGGTATTTTTAAAGTAAATATTTTTATTTGAAAAGCTATTATTTTCAGAAATAAGAAATATTTTACTCTAGATTCTAGCTCTAAATTGTTATTTAAGTCTACCTTATTGAATTCTACATTGATTTATATAATATGGAGCTTTCTTTTGCTATCTAGTTTCTCTTACCCACATCTCCTTCTTAAGTTGAAAGTGTAGTTGATACTTATTCAACAGTGAGTCATCGGAATATTCCTGAGTCTTCTCTGTAGTTGCCAGTTATAAGTACACACTGATTATTTATTAGTACACAGTGAGCTCTTTGATATATTTTGGGCTTATTTCTTCTCCTGCTGAGTTCTTCAGTTACTTTGAGTCCAGTCCCCACCTCCACTGCCCCACCCCCCAATAGACTATCTCAGTTTCAAAAATAGTTACTGAAAATTTGCTTTAAATTTGCCTGTAGGATCTGTGTTTTGGGTTCTTATATTTTGTAGACAAGTACTTCTCATAAAGTTATTTAAGTATCATGATAAACATCATCTTTTACAAGGTTCTAGCCCTATCTTCAATTTTTTCCTTATTTCTTCTCAGGTTTAGTTTTAACTACCTCATAAGTAAGTGACCATAACAGCTGCTAATCAGAAGTGACCTTAAGTGTACACAGTGACTATGCAGCATGATGGATGGATTTCCGTATCTGAAAAAAGATGCATTTTTTCAAATGAGCTACATGGCAGGATAGACTAGTGTCAATATTGCTATAGAGAAAAACTATGAGATTTTTTTTAGTATCTGAAAGCTTCGTTTTATTTTTGACAAACATATTATCAGATGAAGAAGCACCCCCCCAAAATTTTTTTCTTACTTTCCCATTTCATATTGATTTTGCCAAGTCAACTCTGACTCTTTAACATCTGTTTTCCCTAGGTTTTGCTGGCACACCTGGATATCTTTCTCCAGAAGTTTTACGTAAAGATCCTTATGGAAAGCCAGTGGATATGTGGGCATGTGGTAAGGAATCATATTTTGAAGCAAATTTTGTAATACACCAATGTTTTAGTCTACTCAGTCTACTCTACAACAAGCTGTCATTTTGTTGTGGCTTAAACAACAAAAATTTATTTCTCACAGTTCCAGAGGCTGTGAAGTGCAACATCAAAGCACTGGCAGATTCGGTGCCTGGTGAGGGTCCACTTCCCAGTTTGTAGGTGGCCATGTTCTCTGTGTCCTCACATGGCAGAAGATGTGAGGGAGCTCTTTGGGGTCTCTTTTCTAAGGACGCTAATCCCACTCATGAGGCCTCCACATTACCAAAGTCCACACCTCCTAATAGCATCACTTTGGGGGGTAGGATTTCAACATAGGAATTTGGGGAAGACACAAACATTCAGTCTATAGCAACTAGTATTGCTGTAGTTAAAACTAGTATCTTTTAAATTTGGAGTAGATGCTCTCAAGTGATCAACTTAGAGCAGATTTCAAATTTTAGCCTACAGAATCACATGGAGAGCTGGTTAAAGCACAGATTGCTGTGTTACTGATTCAGTAGTTCTGGGTGAGGAATATTTACATTTTTAAGAAGTTCTCAAGTGATGCTAATACTACTGGTCTCAGGAACACTTTGAGAACAGGGATGTGGAGCATCCCCTGTAGTGGTTCTGTATTTATGCTACTAGCCTCTCAACTGGTTCAACCACCCCGTCCAACGAATACCATGTTTCCCAAGATGCTTGGCAGGGATTAAGAGTGAAATAGTGTGCCTTAGAAAGTAATGAAATTGACTATCCCATGGGGCCTGAACTCTGATTTAGGCCTCTATCAACCAACTCTAATAAAAGAAAGTATCCTGTAAATGCCCAATGACATATAATGGAAGGGATTTCCACCACAGTTTTTGTGATGGAATTTCTATGCCTCAACCTACAAACATATTCATGTACTTCAATTAGGTGAAAGACTGAAATAAAGGGGATACTGTAGGATGCTCTGAAATATTTCTCTGCTAGGGTTATCAACATAAACTAGTCCTCTAGGTTCCTGACACTGTGTCACTGCTACCAGTCTATAAATAGATGTTTTATGGCCATTGTTTGGCTTTATTGGCTTTAGTGTACTACGGACAGATTCCACTGCCTCGGTGTTTTTAGTAAGCCTGGAAGAGGTTACGAAACTTTATTTGATTCTGAAAATAACTTTATAGATTTGATTTTAGTTAGAAAAGTAAATAAATTCATCATCACTACTTCATAGTGATAGATTATCCCATACTGACTCTTGTCAGCTTTATCTCTCTAGCATTAACAACTTGGTGTTTGAAATTAAATTAATTGAATCTTGGATTTTCAGAGTTACCTCCACACTTAGGAAGGCAGTTATGACTAGTTACAGTCAGCAGTTATTACGACTGTGTTTGTCGTCACAACACTTGCTGTCAAGTCTTTGCTTTGCACCTTCTAACCCTGTCTCTTTAATAAGAGATGTGTTGATTTCTTTACCTATAAAAAAGGAATATATTGCCCTCATCAAATTGTAGGAGGGTCAAATATTGTTCAATTAAAAGAAAGGCATTTTGTAGTCTGTAAAAGCGATTCAAAATGCAAATAGCCATTATTATTCTAAAAGAATGGAATGCCACCTAATTAAATGGTAAGGTCTTAGTCTTGTCCCAAGCTCTGTCTTCTTCTTGCCTACCTGAAAGTATCTTTTAAGAATGAATTCTAAAATGTCTTTGAGTTAGAGGACTGTTGTAAATAAAATATGTTTGTTCAAATCTGAATGTGAATGGCAGATTGTTCAAATATTTCGCTTGCAATAAATCAGCTCCCATTATAGATATGTTTCTGCTGATGTACTTAAGAAGCAGCAAAGAGGGGCCTGAAAGTCAAGCAGGTAAAGATGGGTTCTGTGGAGGATAGAATCGTATTTTTATGTTGGAAGTACTAGCCAGAGCAATCAGAGAAGAGAAGGAAATAAAGGCCATCCAGATGTGAAAGGATGAAGTCAAGCTGTCCCTTTTTGCGGATGATATGATCCTATATATTGAACAGCCTAAAGCTTCTATAAAAACCTCCTAGAGTTGATAAATGATTTCAGCAAAGTTGCAGGATACAAAATGAACACACAAAAATCAGTAGCATTTCTGTATCCCAGTAGTGGACATGCAGAAAAAGAAATCAAGAAAACTAGCCCATTTATAACAGGCACAAAAAAAATAAAATACTTAGGAATACAGTTGATGAAGGATGTGAAAAATCTTTATGCAGAGAACTACAAACTACTGTTGAGAGAAATTAAGGGAGACACAAGAAGATGGAAAGATATCCTATGCTCTTGGATTGGAAGAATTAACATTGTGAAAATGTCCATATTACCCAAAGTGATGTACAGATTCAATGCAATCCCCATCAAAACTCTAAAGACATTTTTCTCAGAGATGGAAAAAGCTATCCAGGCATTTATATGGAACAACAAAAGACCATGCATAGTTGAAGCAATCCTGAGAAAAAAAATAAAACTGGAGGCATAACACTACCTGACTTTAAACTATATTACAAAGCTATAATAACCAAAACAGCAGGGTACTGGCATAAAAACAGACACACGGATCAATGGAATAGAATAGAGAACCCAGAAATCAATCCATACACCTACAGCCATCTGATCTTTGACAAAGGCAGCAAATCTACCTACTGGGGAAGAGACTGCCTTTTCAACAAGTGGTGCTGGAAAACCTGGATATTCATATGTAGGAGAATGAAACTAGACCTGTACCTTTCACCATATACCAAAATCAACTCAAAATGGATTAAAGAATTAAATATATATCCCGAAACAATGAAACTCCTTAAAGAAAACATAGGGGAAATACTCCAGGAAGTAGTAGTTGGTACAGAATTCATGAATAGAACCCCAAAATCACAGGCAACTAAAGGTAAAATAAACAAGTGGGATTATATCAAACTAAAAAGCTTCTGCACAGCAAAAGAAACAATCAACAGAGGAAAAAAACAACAAACAGAGTGGGGAATATTTGCAAAATATGCATCTGACAAAGGATTAATATCCAGAATATACAAGGAACTCAAACAACTAGTGGGGAATATTTGCAAAATATGCATCTGACAAAGGATTAATATCCAGAATATACAAGGAACTCAAACAACTTTACAGCAAAAAAACATGTAACCCAATTAAAAAAATAGGCACAGGAGCTGAATAGGCATTTCTCAAAGGAAGATACACAAATGGCCAACAGACACATGAAAAAATGCTCAATGTCACTCAGCATTCAGGAAATACAAATCAAAACCACACTGAGATACCATCTCAATCCAGTTAGGATGGCTAATATCCAAAAGACTGAGAATGATAAGTACTGGAGAGGTTGCAGAGTAAAAGGAACTCTCATCCACTGTTGGTGGGGCTGCAAAATAGTGCAGCCTTTATGGAAAATGATATGGAGGCTCCTCAGACAATTGCAGATAGGTCTACCATATGACCCAGCAATTCCATTGCTGGGCATATACCCAGAGGAATGGAAATCATCATGCTGAAGGGATACCTGTACTCCAATGTTTATTGCAGCTCTATTTACAAGAGCAAAGAGCTGGAACCAGCCCAAATGTTCATCATCTGATGAGTGGATAAGGAAACTGTGGTACATCTACACAATGGAATACTACTCTGTGGGTCCAGGGACAGAGCCACCTTTCACTTTGCTGTATTCTGTTCTTAGCTTTGCTTTTGTCACACAATTGTCTGCAAAGAGCCAAATTCCTTTGTGATAAGTGATATCTCAGTTAGAGCATATGTTTGCTGCCAGCTCTCATTTTCTTTAGAGACCATGTGCCTCTCTTAATTGTGAGCCTAGAAGTGCACTTGGAATCACACAGCTAACTATGGCAATGTCTTAGGTTTTCTAATATCACATAGTTGGGGGAAATGACCACTGCTGGGAACATCATAATGAATTATTTGATACATTTCTAGGGCACTGCTGGCTGTTTGGCATTATTGTTTTACCATTTTATTACATATCACCTCACTCAGGTTACATGAAAGTTACATTAAATTTACTTTATTTGTAAGGTGATGTACCCTTGCTCACCAAAGTAATATACACATTATTTGGTTGCTCTTAGGTTATGGCTTATCTTGAGGGAAACTCTTTCAACCATCCATTAACACTAGCTCTTGCCAATTAAATAGTTACTTCTTTTCAAGAGTAGACTGGATTGTGTGGTAAGAAATGACACTGTAACAAAAGAAATGCAGAACAAGCCATTTAGCAGAACGGTAGCTAGTCTTCTATGTGAATTATGCTACAAGCAAAGTGACGCATAGCATTGGTATAATGACTAAAAGAAGTCTGTACATTATTTTTATTAGAAGCATGTAATTATCTGCACACAGATAATAAAATCTCAAATACTTACCACCATTACCTTGCTTTTGTGATCTCACACAGAGTGTGGTATGACCTATACTCAGTCTTTGAAAACAACTAGTCCATTACTGGAAAGTAAATAATAGATATTAATGAAATAAGAACACAGCCCTGTGGTTTGCCATTAACAGCAGTAAATCGATTTTGATGGGTTTCTTGTATATAGCTGCTTCCATAATTCTCTAAAGGAATGAGCAAATATTTATAGATGTCACTGGATCACTAGTTTTTACTTTTTTTTTTAATTGATTATACATGTCTGTGGGGTACCATGTTGAATATCAGTACCTGTGTGTAATATGTGATGCTCAATTCAGGATAGTTAATATATTCAGCTTTACACACTGTAATTATTTTTGTGGCCCTTTACTAATTTTTCAGTAACTCCCCTCCCCCTATCCCTTACCCACCTCTGGTGGACTCAGTTCTGTTTTCTCCTTTTGAAAGTTCAACTAATTATTGTGATTGTTACATCTTTCTTTCTTTTTTTGTTTACTTTTTTAGCTTCCACTTATGAGTGAGGACATGAGGTGTTTCTCTTTCTGTACCTGGCTTATTTCACTTA